CCTGTTCAATGTGCTCCATTATCCCACCAATGACTACATTGCCATGCGAGTCCGCAAGAGCATCAACATCAATCTCTATAGCATCAGATAAATACTTGTCAATTAATACAGGACGTTCTGGATCCACCTCAACAGCACTCTCAAGGTATGTCACAAGTTTATCATCACTATAAACAATTTCCATTGCCCGACCACCCAGCACATAGGAAGGACGGACAACAACTGGATATCCAATATCAGATGCAATAGCAAGGGCATCTGCTTCGCTCCTCGCAATTCCTCCTTTGGGCTGTTCAATTTTTAACTCTCTAAGCATCACATTGAACCTCTCTCTGTCCTCAGCAGCATCTATGGAATCTGGAGATGTTCCCCAAATGCTTACACAATGATTCCCACTGCCAGTCACTGGCTTGTGCTCGTCCAGGTATTGCTGTATGGGGAGAGCCAACTTTAAGGGTGTTTGACCACCAAATTGTACAATGATACCATCAGGCTTTTCCAGATCAATGATGTTTAAGACATCTTCAACAGTTAAAGGTTCAAAGTAGAGACGGTCACTAGTGTCATAGTCAGTGGAAACTGTCTCAGGATTTGAATTCACCATGATCGTCTCATAACCTGCTTCCTGCAAAAACAATGGACAAGTCAACAGGCTACAAAGGTAAAACCTGATTGTACATAATCAAAAAAGGACGTTACTTTCTTGGAGAAATGCAAAGTAGAAGAGAGCCGAATTGATCACAGTAACTCACATAACGCCAAAATCATATAATTTCATCGTAAAAGGTTTATTTTCAAAGAGGTATAATGCAGCAATGTAAGCACCATGTCTACCCCAAAGTTACAATTTCTAGAAAATGTTGTAAGTAGAAAGGAGAAAAGGCTACTGAATTTTTTCCCCCATTTCTTAACCACTTTTTCGCAAAGAGAAATGCACAGATGGTAGAGCACGAAATCTTGAACAATTGGAATCTCAATCACATGATCATAAGGAAACGAACCTGAAGAGAAAAGGATGCATGACAACAACAGTAGTCAAACTCAATCCCTTGACCAATTCGATTTGGCCCTCCACCCAAAATTAAAACCTTCTTTCTAAGGGTAGGAGCTGATTCGCACTCAAAATCATAAGAAGAGTACATATATGGCGTGTTGGCTTCAAATTCAGCAGCACAAGTATCTACTCGCTTATATGCTGGAGTGACACACATAGACAATCGCCTAAAACGAACTTCTTTCTCTGCGGATTTCGTGGCAAATGCAATTTGTTTATCACTGAACCCTCTCCTCTTTACCTGGTATAAGTCATCCTTTGTCAAGTCCATCAAACTATGAGACGACAAGAAATTTTCCACATCAAGTAGCTCCTTGAGCTGCGTAAGAAACCATTTGTCAATGTAACTCAGATCATGAATCTCGTCAACTTTCATCCCTTTCTTCATTGCAGCATATACGGCATGGATGCGATCCGGGTTAGGAACTCTGAGGCTATACTTCAATTGGTCCCAATCATAATCCAATTCCTTCACCTGTCCACATCCCCACCCAGAGAAGCCATATTCTAGAGAACGTACCGCTTTTTGAAAGGACTCTTGGAACGTTCGCCCAACTGCCATTGCCTCTCCAACTGATTTCATCTGTGTCGTCAATATTGGCTGAGAACCAGGGAATTTTTCAAAAGCAAACCGAGGAATCTGCAACATGAATAGTCAAGTAAAACGTAAATACAGAGGTAAAAGAACAGGTAACTCTTACTCCGAAAGAGGCTCGTTGATAGCATTACAATGAGTTACTTACTTTTGTAACCACATAATCTATCGAGGGCTCGAAACTAGCTGGTGTCTTTTTTGTGATATCATTTGGGATTTGATCCAATGAGTAACCTACGGATAATTTTGCAGCCATTTTTGCTATTGGAAACCCAGTTGCCTTTGATGCCAGAGCGGATGACCTAGAAACTCTTGGGTTCATCTCAATTACCATCACCTCACCATCTTTAGGATTGACAGCGAACTGCACATTCGAACCCCCACATTCTACCCCTATTTCTCTTATTATAGCAATTGAGTAATCCCTAAGTCGCTGATACTCCTTGTCAGTCAAAGTTTGCGCGGGTGCAACAGTGATAGAATCTCCCGTATGAACTCCCATTGGATCAATATTCTCGATAGAACATATAATTACCACATTGTCCGCCAAATCTCTCATGACTTCGAGCTCATACTCTTTCCAACCTAACAAAGACTTCTCTACTAAAACTTGACTGGTTATGCTAGCCGCAAGCCCGGCCTTACAAATTTCCTCAAATTCTTGCCTATTATATGCAATCCCTCCTCCTGTTCCACCCAAAGTAAAGGCTGGCCTTATGATTAAAGGGAATTCGCCAATCTCGTCAGCAATTTCGATACACTCCTTGAGCGTTGTACCAATGCCAGAAGGGGGTGTCTTAATCCCAATATTCTTCATCGCCTGCTTAAATAAATCTCTATCTTCCGCCTTCTTAATTGCATCGAGCTTCGCGCCAATCAACTCAACACCGTACTTGTCTAAAGCACCGCTCTCAGCCAGGGCAACCGCAAGATTAAGCGCAGTCTGCCCACCCATGGTCGGCAATATGGCATCCGGACGCTCCTTCTCAAGAACCTGTTCAACCAACTCAGGCGTCATCGGTGTGATGTACGTCCTATCGGCCATTTCAGGATCAGTCATTATCGTTGCCGGATTCGAATTTATCAGTATGACTTCATAACCCTCTTCCCTGAGCGCTTTACAAGCTTGAGTCCCCGAGTAATCGAACTCGCAGGCTTGGCCAATCACAATAGGCCCAGCTCCAAGTATCAAAATCTTCTTCAAGTCCGTTCTCTTCCCCACGTTTGAAGATGTTAGACTGACATCATCAACTGTGGGGGCGGCAATGGCACCCGCAGACACGTCTCTCTGTTTCCAAGAACACTGAATCCCTGCAAACAGCCACGGCCGAAAGCATGCAGAAGGTAAATTTTTAGGCGCCCCCAACCTGGTAGGGTTTATAGCGCAGGCCTTCGACAACCGCAGATTAGTGGAAGAGACACGGAGAGGCAACGAGAGTTTTTCACAATGGGAGATGCAAGAACCCAAAGCCATCCCGAGTCAATCTACTGAAGTGTAAGGGACACTGTAATCTGATTCTCAGGAGAAGATGAGAGTGAAGAGGGAAAGACGCTTTATTACCAGCGGAGCCGATGAGGCGCGAGAGGCACTTTTCCAAGGTAAACCCGCATCTTGAATTCTTGATCAAATATAAATGGCGGCGTTCTCTGTTGCAACCTCGCAGGAGAGTATTTAGTGTTTAGGTATTAAAAATAAAAAGCACAATTTACTTTTATTTTCTTTCTCTTTTTGACCAACTTTATTTTCACAAATCACCTATTATTTGAATTAATTTTATATTACAAATTTAGTAAAAAAAATAAAACTAATCTCATAATTTTTCAACATCCGTATAATTACGGTATCACTTTAATATGATTTAAAAAAACACAGTTTGGGATTTTAAAAAATTGATTTAATCAATAAAAGTGAGAATAATAGGAAGGCAGAAGAAAAATGAGAATAGTGACAAGTAAGGGTTCCAGGAATGAGTGCGAAGCCTGCAGGGACAGAGGGCAGATTGGGAGCGAGTACGACGGACATAGCCACTCACAGAGTGTGGTGGGCCTTCCAGCATCTACCCGTAAATGTCACGGTCCATGCATCATCACAAAAATGGTTTACTTTTACTTTTAGACTAATAATAATGAGACCATAAATTTGAAATCCATGGACTTGCATGACTATAAGTAGGAGGGAGAACAGCTACACTTCACACAAGATTAAAAAATAAAATAATAATTATCGAAAAGCTTGAGATGGGAAAAAAGACGAGGGACCGGATTCCTAGCAGCAAAAGACGAGGGCATGTGGTGAGAGAATAATGCTCCTGTGGCATCCATTGCAAGGAAATAACGCATATGGCAACACCTCGTCCTGGGGACATGTACATGCCCACACAATGGCTTGCACTGATTGACACCCAAATCCCAACAATAGCCTTTTCGGCCTCGTCTTCCACCCAAAATCATACAGTCCTCATTCAATTCACCCACCATTACCTTCGCACAGCCCTACTATATTATGTCCTATCACGAGGGTTTTATCTTTCCATGCTCCCTTCGCATAGCCCTTAGCTTGGGATCCTCTTCAAAGCTCCCTTCATCTCCATGCTCCACTGATTATACTGAATCAACACGACTCCTCCGCGGAGCTTCATCTATATCCTCTCCAAGTCCAAACAAACCACTGTGCTAGGCTCCAGAAATCTGAGTTCCTTTTACACATCCAATATATCTCCCTCGATGCAACTAAAAGGCCAAAAAATACCGTCTTCAAAAGAACTTCCTTCTCTTCTCTCGAAAGTTAGACCGAACAAATTCCTGTCCACAATTTAGTGGGTCCTCACGAAGACACGCAGACGGCTACCCGACTACGTGTTGTCTTAAGGCTGCTTTTACTTCAAAGTCTGAATTATGGTGGAAGGCACTAAAATAAAAGAAATGGGCTGAAAATTCACAAGAGACTCGACGAGAGTGCGACGCAACAATGGGCCCGAGGCTCCTAAGAAACACCAACCACGGGCCTTCACAGGCGTTTGGGACTTTGGGTTTCATTATTATTGAATCACTTTTTTCTTTGTCCGCGCCAACATGTTGATGATTTTCATGTGCTTGTTATGGGGAAAAAACAATTCATGTGCTCTGCTGGAACATGTCTTCTGGTGGGTTCACTGTTCAATTATTTAGAAAAGTTATTGTTTATATAATTGAAATATCAACCTCTAATAAATCCGAATCTTGGCTAAGTGTATTAGGTGCTATCTCTACAATTAATTTGCTCGTTTTATTCTTCAGCAAATTAAGCGACTGCTCGCGAAGCTAGCAGCTAATGTTTAGCTCAACAAATAAATTACAAAACGAGGACGTCCATACAGAAGGCTAATATATATTAGTTTCATGTTTATTGTCTAACCACTATCATACATAATAAGTACAGTTAAAACAGGGAGTCAGAAAACAAGCGTCTGACAGCGAATCTGAAAAGAGGAAAAGGCATAATGTAGATACGAAGACGACGAAAGCAAAGATGTGGACGAGGGAAGCAAACTAAAAATGAATCCTGGAAGGCTCGACTTTGGTCATTCGAGCTTCGCCGGAGGGTTCGTCGTTGTCGATCTTGCGGTTGTTTCTGAAAGCAGCATAAGCAATGATATAAGCGATTACAAGAATGATCATGACAACAATGTTGATGACGGAGACCTTCCTCCAGCTCGTCTTGAGGCTGGCCAGAACCCCGGCCTTGCAAGAGTCACACTCGTAGCACAGCTGACTCTGATCATTGCTCCACCTGCTGCAGTCTGGGTTGGCTCCCGCCACCGCCCCTGCTTTCCACACCGTCTCTCTCTCGTACACGTACCCACACACTGTCGGAGGCTTGCAGCAACCTGACTGCACATCACAATACACACGGTTCTCGTTAATGGCGTTTCAGTAATCAGTTGAGATCATTTATTATTGTTTGACAACATGTTGAGATATACCGCCATATGTGCACTGTGTCTATGACCAAGTTGCCTGTGACTGTGCGTTCGTTCTCCAATGAAAGGAAAACACGCACGGATATAGGATAAGAAGAAGGCTACTCGATCCATGTCTAAAACATCACGCTCATGGGGCTCTGAAAATAAGGGCACGAATCTGGGGCAGAAACAACACTCACCTTCTGCACCACTTTGATTCATTTCCACAATTCCCATTTGACTATACCCAGAATTGACAACCCCAATATAATTATCTGCCGTACATGGCTACTATAGTATAATTATGATAGAATGACAAATAATAACCTTATAAAAACATTCATGTTAAATTAAAAACTTTAATACTAAAATATGGTAAAAGGAATACTAAAATTTAAGAACATTATTGTTGAAAAATTTTACTTTGACATTACTACTTTTACAAATTCTTTATTTGTCATTCTCCTTATAATTATTTAGGTGACCTGTCTGAAATGAAGGTTGTAGAAAGAGATTAGGAAAGAAAGAAAACTAGCAAGTGACTTTGCTCGTCTGTGTTTCCAGCCTCATAATAATACAATATTTATTCTAGAACAAGGAAAAGACAATTTACCCAACCCCTTGATCATATCCATAAAATGAGGCCTGGAGGCCATGCCTAGAAAGCATTCTTAATTAGCTTGTTGATGATTAATTGATGAGCAGGACATATTGTTGAAAGAAGAAAGCGACAAGTGTGAGGATAATTATATCGTATATGTTTGCCACTGCCAAAAGAAGGCGGCTTAAAATGGACACCCACACACTAAAAACCTAAAGTTTAATCAATGATTTATTTTTTTTTGGAACATCAAGTTAATCAATGATGGTTAAGTTTTAATAAGCAGATTTTGAAGATGTGGTCCAACAAAGAATTAAAAGATTGCCATCCTTTTCATACTGGAATGGCGCCATCTCACACGGCGCTTAAAAATTTTACATAATAAATATTGAAATAATATTATAACATCTTCAATTTATAATATGATTGAATGACTTTAACAAAGTGAATGTAAAAGAGTAGGGACACAAACGCATAATTTAAAATGTTTATCACCACCACGCCCACTTAATTTACGGCAGGAACCATGCATCATATATATTAGGACTAATTAATTTTATAAAGTTATAAAATTATAGAGAAGTAATGTTTCAAAAATGACATTGGTCAAATCGAAACGCTGGTGCATGGCCCACTCACCACATTTCTCGGGGATTGTGCATGCAATCCCCATCACCCCCACATGACGCTGTGTCCCTCGTTATAAGCTCACGACGCGACCCAACCTCTCATCTAAATTTTTCACCAGATTGACCAAAAAGAATATCACCGGACGCGTAATAACAGTAAAATAATATCTGAGAGACTACTGCACTGATACTGGAAATGCTATGGTGGGTTAAGCTATGCATGAAGAACTCTGAATCTTCAAAATTTAAATTATATGTCATAATGATTTGATACGACGCGCCAATACTTTAAATAACATGTAAACACTATATGGTGACGATAAGAGATGAACAAGAGCAGGGGAAAACGGAAATGACCTGGAGAGGAGTGAGCCTTCTGAGGAAGAACATATCAGCAGTTTCAGGCATGCCACCAACAGTTCTGACCATCTTTCTGCACACCTTGGAGTCCCTGACGCAGGAGCTAATCTTTCCCCAGTAGCTATCACTTGCCACCCGCTCCTCCAACCAACCCGAATAATCCTCCAGATAATAGTCCAGATAAGCCCGGCCCATCACCCCCCGACCGGAACCCTTATCTGTCACGGCATGGGCGAAGATGATGAATCCGATCAGTGCTGCGATGACCAAGAACATCACCACCAGGTAGAGCCGCATTAGGACGGTGTTGCGGTAGCAGGCGCCGGCGAAACCCGCCAGGGAGACGACCATGATGCTGATTCCGATGACGATGAGAGGCCACTGGAGGAACGTGAGGCAGTCCGTGTTGTTTGCCCTGCTGCTCAGCCATATCCCTCCTCCCAGTATAGGAATCGACAGCAAGAACGTTAAGAAGTTTAGCAGACCAATCAAGTGGTTGCTCGTTCCCATCTTTCTAATCAACTCTTCTTATCAATCCTTCCTTCCTTGGTTTTTTTTTTTTTTTGAATCTTTTGTAGGCTCCAATAAAGTGTGTGCAGAGGCTGTGAACTTTTATTTCTTTGTTTGGCCTTTTGAGGCAGCCTAGAGCTTATATATGCTAGTCGTCGTCCATCCATCGGTTCCCAACGTAGGAAATGATTCAAATATCATTTTCTTTACTCGAAACCGCTCCTACTTTCGGATTGCGGTTTGCGGTTTGCGGTTTGCGTTTGCCACTGACTCGGGGAGACTAGCAGTTTTTCCGTTTCATGAGAAATAATAATACTTGCTATGTCTAGCTGTGATTTGTCATTTGTTTGACTAGAAAGTATGGATTATGCAATGTATTGCCTTTTTTAATGAACACATGTATCCTCCCTTCATCCCTGTGTCTTTATCCCTACGTATAAAAAGTTTTTTAAAAACTTTTTTTTTAAATATAAAAAATTATTTGTATTTTGTTAATAAATGAATCATTATACCCTTATTAAATTAAAAAAATAAGTACTCCAATTAATTTATTTAAAAAAAATAAATGTATTTTTTTTAATTTACAATAATTAAAAATAAAATTAAAATGTTGATGTGATTTTAATTGAATAACTAATTTTTATTAATTTATATGACTCGGTTAAACACAGGACGGAGAGAGTACCTCTTTTCTAGCACTAGAGTTTTCCCATTCTTTAACATACACTTGATTTTCGACAAATAACAAAACTTTATCCTTGTTTAATGAAAACAACCAGTTGGATAAAGCGAAACTCAAATGGATTGTGATGGAGAGGAGAAGAAGACAGAAAGTTGAGACGATGACTTGAGAAGGCGAGGTCTGTGGAAGAAATAAGTGTGGACTCTGAAATCCGTACCCAATTCAAATTTGGTGAAGCTAATATGAAAACAGTTCAAGACGTGGGCTTAGGAACGGACCATTTTTTCCGGTCACCACTCACCAGGTCCAGGTCCTTACTGCATTAACATGCCGGAGTAAATGTGGATGTCGGCCTAAGCCACAGCTGTAATGCCGCATGACGGCACAAGTGACGCCCGCACTTTTTTCTGGCCCCCTGCCTTATTTTAAGTTTCGCCTTAGGCCCAATCAAAATGGCCTTTTCTCTATTTTCTTTGATGAGTTTGGGCCTTATTTGATAGTCGTGCTCATGGATCAATAAGTCTCGTAGTGATCTCGTTATGGGCCAGATCTACTGGTCGCAAAAACCACTTAGGTTTTGCCCCTATAATCTTTTAAGAAATGTATTTAACTGTCTTTTTTTTTCTCTACCGAAAAACTGTCTGTTTTTTTTATTACTCTCAGTCATCCTTTTATTAGAGTTCCTTGCTTGAGCCTTCGAGATATAATGAAGTTTTAAATGCAATCACTTCTCTTAATAAAAATTTGAATATTAATTTGTTATATTGTAAGGAATTAACCTGTTTTATTAGATCCAACCATATTAGCTTTGATTGTCTTTTTTTATTTGCCTGCAAGTGTGAAACTCTAAATAGAAGAGCTGACTATATATCAGTTGCACGCCGATGCCATGGCAACCCAATTAGCACGTTGATCCAAACCAGTCGATCATGCATCTCAGTTGCCACATTTCTACCTCACCTTTCTCACTATACTTCCTTTTTTTCCTTAGGCTACTATGCAGCTTTCGTTATTGCGACCAGATGAAAAACGAACATGGACCTTACTCGCTTGGTTCACAAAAGGCTTTAACCAGCGTCAGAGTTGTTTAATTCCACACTACCCGGATTGAATTGTGAACTGATTACTGGAGTCTGGCCAGATTGAGCTTAATTCACCGTATGAGGATCGTTGATCCTACCCTTAATTCCCCCTAGGAACGTGATTTTTCAAGATTCTATGCACACATGACATACCATTCAGACGAGCAGGTTTGCATATGAATCTGAATTTTAAAGGAACGAAAACTTTTCTTTTGGCCACCTGTAAAACAAAGTCAAAAAATAAAAAAAATTCACCATTCACCAGTTTTGCATTAACCAGTAGACTCGCACAGGCGTAGCTTTCATTTAATTTCCAATTAAGAAAACTTTCATGTTAAACCATATATGTGAAGAAAAAATTAATGTATGCAATAAAATTAGGACAAATTTTAAAGTTTAAAAATTAAAGTATTAATAACAAAAATCAGTTAGTGGTGAATCATGATTTTTTTTTTTATCAGTGATCGTGGACTAAAATATTGGCCTACATGATTTGATAGTAAAAATATAAAAAATAGTGTTCTAGATTGATTATATAAAACTACACACTGACACAGTTGTATGAGATTAATAACATGGCTCAGCCCATTGACACAGTAACAGAACAGCGATCAAGGACTTCGTGCGAAGGCATGCATTTATTCTAAATCGCTGTTGATTTATAGTGCTTTTGAATGCGGAGCCCCGCGAGAAATTCAAACCGTGATCCAGCGAACCCCATGCATCCTCATTGATTGCTGAGGCATATTAACGTTCAATCTGTCACTGACTGTTCCTGCCAAATCCTCATTTGGATATGCCTGCTGACTGCCGAGAGAGACAAAAATCATTCCGAGGTTGCTGGTCATGCTTCACTGAAATTTTTAATTCGTAGGGATACGAGATGGTCTCATCGGCTCCAATATAAAAATAATATGGAAAGCAGTATTTTAATTCCAGGAATCTATGTGGTGAAAATACGACGATGTCATAACTCATACCTTGAAGCTACCGACATTTCAAAGACCAAGACTGGTCAGCGATTCAGACGATTCAGACCGCACAAACTACGAATTATCGTCCTGGTGCTGCTTCTCACTCCCCCCCAGCCCAATGCCCCTCTCTCGTTACCTCCTGGTTAACATAAGCAACATACTTTCACGACTCTCTAAGTTTGGCTAAAATAGCGAACAAATCTGCTATCTCATTAGTCTATTCAACAAAAATATGGCAGTACAAAAAATTTGACATTTGCTAATGAGTGGCCAGGGAAAAACGGCAAGCCAGAAACAAAAAGAGAGGCGATTCAAGCGAATCAAATTCCTTGATTTTAGCCCAAAACTCTAGAGAAATGTAAGTTAAAAAACCGATATTTAATTTTAGTCATGAGAGGAAATGAGTCCCTCTGTTTCGTCTCTTCTTATGACCAGTGGAGAAGCTTCAAGTGTCTGTCTACATTAGGGGACTATTAAGAAGACCGTGCCAAGATGAACTGAGACCATTGTTCCAACTTGCTCTTCCTGAATCGAGCCCACCCATGCCACCCATGTTTATGGCTCCATTGAGCTGCCATGGGAGACCCCACAACACATTGTTTTCACTCTGTTCCCTGCCATTACACATTATTTCTTGCTTCATAGTAGTGACCAACACAGCTTGCGTTGTGGGTGCATTGTTGATTTCTTGATCATAGGGGAGCATCATCTCCTCGTTGCCCTTGTCCACCTCTCCCATGCCCCCATTTCCGTATCCACAATACAGATTCTGCAGATTATTACTCCGCTGGTTTTCCCCGAATCCACTTCTAAATGCATCTAAAAAGCCAGGATTTGCGGGATTGCCAAGAATATCAAAATGGGAACTCGTGGGATTCCCCAAAATAGAAAGATCATGATCATCAAAACCCAATTGCCCAGCAGTACAGGATTGCTCTTGCAGCCTAACTAATGCGAGGGTGAGGTCATCTGAATCATAAGATAACGAAGGGATGGTAGCAAGTGGGTTGTTGTGGGGGTGAGTGGTTGATCTTGACCCCTCTTTGATGACGAAGACCTCTTGTTCTTCCTGCAGCCTCCACCCACCGGAACATTCCTCAATGTTCCTCCTTTGGTCCAATATCTCCTGCATGACTTGCAGAAGTATCTTGGCTGAGAAAGGCTGTAATTGTTGTAGTAACAGAATTTGGTGTTGGTGGAGTCACATCTCGGGCATTTCAGTGCTTCTTCTGGCTGAGGTCTCGGCTTCCTCTCTTGTTGTGCTTTTGAGCAGGCTATCATGTTCTCCAGTGATGGGTTAGACATTTGCTGTAAAAACAAAAGCCCAGCTGGAATTATTATTCATTAGTAAGCATGGAACCCAAGAATCACAGTGCAATTCCGCAGGCGAATAATTTAATTTTGAAATGGAGCTAGCTAAGGTATGCATAAGACTATTCTTCGAATCCTTCCACGGGTATAGGGTATATAAACAAATAAGGCAAATAATTACCACCCTAGCTAGGAGCTAGCACGAATTAAAGGTTTTTATATCTTGTCTAAGATGAAGAAGGAGAGTTTGGCCTAACATGTCAGCTGGATTTAAGAGTTCAGTCTTAAACCACGGCTCCACCTCTATTGGGAATTTGGCATAGAAAAGTAAGCCATTCTAGTTAATTCTACCAATCGAAGAGGGAGAAAACTCTCCAATGGATTTTTCATAAAGCGCAGAGTGAGAAATCTACGATATGCTCTTACCTATCGAAGTACGTTCGGTTAGTTTTATAACATATGGCTGAGCTGGCCATGATGAAGAATTGGTGGAGGGAGGCCTTAAGACCCAAAATCACAGTGAAGCCCAAACGTAAAAACATCGAAGGGAAAGAGGGAAAGGTAAAGAAAAGGCATGCATAAAGAATTAGAGAGGCGAGTGAGGGTGAGAGAGCAAAGCACCCTGCCTACCTGATGTTTTGCACGGGAAGAATCCATCCCTACAATGAACTCTGACCGAAACAAGAGTTTTTGAGTCTGTGCGTGCGGGTATTGGAGAGTAAAGAACGGGAGCCCGGGTACAAAAACCCAGAGAGTGATGGAGGGGAGGGTGAAGTGGTCATACAAACTGCGAAGTGAGGAAATAGAAGAGGTCCCATATAAAGCAATCCCGAGAGAGAGAGAGAGGGGGGGGGGGAGCGGGTAATGATGGGGGTTCATGCCGTACGGGATGATGATGGGTGAGTTTGGCTTGCCCGCAGAGAAAGCGTTTAGAAAATTCTTCCACAACGGTTTCATTCTTCCCTTTCATTTTCGTTTTTCCGAAACTATATATTATCATTTTGACCTTTCATTTCTCTCAAAGATACATCTTAATGCACCCCTCTTTTCAGGAAACTTGACATTTCTTAATGAATGAATCTATTGCAATACTCAATCAAAAATATTATAATTTATTATTTTTTTTTTACAGAAGTATATACTAGGAAGTGAAATTTATGTTTACGTTTGTATGAGATCGGTTTCAATACTCATCATGGATGATGCTCATCACATGATGAGTAATTAAGTCAATTTTTATATTTTATTTATATATTTTATTTTATATCTAATAAAAATAGAAATTATAAATGTTAATAAATATATTCTATCATCAATTTATACAATACAAATTTAATTTAATTGATAAATTTAATATTAAATATTTTTATAAATTAACTATTTAGATATACACAGTATAATCTATATTTAAAATTTTTAAATTATAATTTTTTATTTTTAAAAAAATCAGTGTGAATATTATCTTTATTTTTATTTTTTAATATTATATTTATTAAAATAAAAATTTTAAAAATAATTTAATTTTAAATTCAAACGTTATAGAATATATCTGAATAATTAATTTAAAAAAATTATAAAAATATTTAATATTAAATTTATCATTTAAATTAAATATGTATTATTTATATGGATGACAGGGTAGGTTTGTTAAATTTTAAAATTTTTATTTTATTAAATATAAAATAAAATATGAAAATCTGGACCATTCCGGATTCCACCATGGCGCTCCGAAACTGATCTCAAGTTTGAACCGGTCCTGCTTCAGCGCTAATCCCCTGGGATTGTGGGCCCTTGTCTCGCGTGGATGCAACGATTAGTGGGGCCCACCCTGACAGACCCCTTGTTTGGGGGCCCCACGCAACCACCATCCACACCCCGTACCCCCCCCCCCCAAAAAAAAAAATCACCGATCGAAAAGGTCAAAACGCACTCTGCGATGCTATACTATCATCAGCCTCTTCCAAACATGAAAACCTCGCGAACCCCCGTTCCCATTCTCATCGTCAGAAGGGGAGAGGAATATGAATAGAATAGAATAGAATAGAATAAACATTCAAGGGAGGACCAATTTTAAATGAGGACAAAAAAAGGAAAAGAAAAAGGGTTTGGTGGTGGACTAGTGAAGAAGGGAGGATTATATTGTGGGGACGTTGGAGGGAGATGGATGAGGAGGAAGGGGGACCCAGGAAAAAAGGAAAGCATGATTAAAGAGATATGAACGAAGGGAAATGGTGGTGGCATTGTTGAATGTTTGGATGACGACGTGAAAGGGTAATGTTGCGTTGGGGGGACAGGCAAGGGACATGGCTGACAGCGATGCAGTAAAATCTTCCTTCGTCTTCATTCCACACACTGTCCAGCTTTTGCTTCACTCTGCACTGTAACTTTGCTTGTTCATTCATTATTATCAAGAACTGATGAATTGCTTTGGTTGTGTCGTGAAGAAATGTGGAATATGGGAACACGTTTGCGCTGCCTCGTCCATTATGATACAACCCTACCTTAACCTTCCAAGCCACCTCATCAGTACACTCCGTTTTTGCTTTTCCCTGCTCTTGCCTCCGGCTGGTCCCTCCTCCCCCTGTCTTGTCTTACTCAACTTCCACTCATTCCCACGCCTCTCCCTTCATTTTTTTTCAACGACATCCAATATCCTTAAATAATGGATGATACAAGGGTGTCCATAAAGTTAATAAAGTTGATGTAAAAATATTAAAATCATTAAATTTGACTAATATTCATTAATGTTAACCTAAAAAAAAAAAGCAAGTATAAGGTATAAAAATATTCACAAACATTTTATCTATAAGTTTTTGGTATCTTTAAATCAATAATAATATAAGGATACTCATTAATTTTACAAAAAAGACCATTTATCCAATCTCAACCATAACAACTCAAACTTTAGAGCTTATTTGAGCGGGCTTGAGTACTCGAATTCTAAGGTATCATTTTGTTTTTTAGTCAATTTTAATTTTTATCTTACAAAATGAAAGTTTTCAATTTTTATCTTATTTTATTTTATTGATAATAAGTCAAAATTCAAATTTTCAGGCAAAGCCCATTTAGGATTGAGTGTGGCTCAAATTTTTTCTAACTTCTTCAAGCTACTTAAATAAACTTAAAATAAAGAAAAAATTTTAAACTTTTAAACCTGATATTAAGATTTTTTAGGGTTATTCAAATTGACATGTCGGGCTTCATCTAAATTGTTGGATCTAACCTTTTTTCAATTTGTTAAAGTAACTTAATATTGACCATGAAATTTTAATAACAGAATTTAATGGATTGAAAAATGTTAGTCTATTTTATAAAATTAATAGATACCCATGTACTTTAAGATACTAGAAGTTCCTCAATAAAAAATTTAACAATTTTTTTGCACCTCATGTTTGCTTTCTTTTTTTTTTTAATGGTCAACATTAACAAGCGTTAGTCAAATTTAATAATTTGAGTGCTTTTGCACCTACTTTATCAACATTATGGACGCTCTTACACCATCTTTCACTCAAGCATACAAGATGTCTTGGGAAACATTTGTTGAATATTTTTGTCCTTTAATTTTATTTATTAATTTTGTTAAGGAAAATGAGATGATAATTCTTTCCATATCTTTTTGAAAAAAATTACACTTAGGTCCCATAAAAGAAAATTTATTATTAAGAGATTTCATGAAATTCACAAAAAAAAACTCGTAAATTTTAAATCTTATGTATTTATAACTTGACAAATGGCATTTATATATGAACAAAGAACATTTACAACTTGCAAAAAAAAAAAAAGACAACTTATAATAAAAAGTTGTAAATGCCAGTTTTTCTTAATTGTAAATGCCTATTTTTTAATTATAAATGTATAAATTTTAAATTTGAGAGTTTTTTTTAAAAAAAAATTATAGGACCTCTTTTAATAAATTTTTTTTAATGAAATGTAGGTGTACTTTTTTTATTTTTTTTTTTCCTTTCTCGAGCCGACGTAGAGGAAATAATTAATGCACGATCCTAGCCATTGTTAAATTAACATGTCAATTCAGAAGGGAACGAATGATTAATTCCGTCTTATTGTCCGCCTCAATGAGATTATGATTATTCATTCCTCTGGCAGGCGCTTTTGTCAGTTTGCTGTTGGTAAACAGAAGTACCACTAGCGTCTCTCATTCTTTAATGGACATCAATCCGGGAAAAGTGAACAGCCTGGGTGCCCTCTATTAAGCCCGCATTCGTTCCTTCCTTGCTTTATTTCTCAATCTAATGGCTACTGGCGAGCATATATCTATCAACAAGGAACATACGATCCGCCCAGCATGTGATTGCTTAACGAATCATATGATTGCTATCGTGAGCAGATCCTATACCACTATAGAAAAAGAATGAGAATGCATGTGATTTAAGATCAGCGGTTCCACAATATCCTGCGGTCAGCTTTAATAAACAGTATGGGCTCCGGAACTGGAAGTGCCCGGCTGCCCGCCCTTTTGGTTTGTTGCTAAATCGAACGCGAAAAACTAGGTTACTGCCTTTAAAATATACTCCATTGAACTGTCCTTAGCGGGGAAAATAATTAGTTACGACTCAATGATTGATCCCCACTATTCTCATAGGTATCCTATCTCTGATGGATCCTGTGGCGAGTTTTTCTTAATTAGGTTGCACCCTCTATGTCCATTCAAACCCGACATTGATTGAAGGGGGAAATATTGAATAATAGTCCGTCATAGTTCTGTTTCAATGAATGTTAAAATTTTAATAATGAACGATCCAAATTTAAATATTATTATATATTATATTTTTAATATTAACACCTAGTAAAATTTAGATTGTGTAGAGTAGTACATTTGGATAGTCAATATATAACAATTATAAAAATTTTAATATTAAATCAAACACTCAAATTAAATTTAGACTATGTTAAAAATAAAAAATTATTAAAATCATATTGTAATTTTTTAAAATTTTTGTTTTAAAAAATATAATATATAATAATCATTTAAACCTGAACCATTCATATTAAAATTTAAATAGTACAGATTTCATTGCAATAATTAGCACCATGCAGCACCCCAAGCGGGTCCTAATCCGTCATGGTTATGAATATTTAACCTGTGTTGTCTGAAAATGCACGGGGTTGGGTGGCGGAGTTGATCCAAGATTGGAGGGTACAAAAAATGGGTCGGTGGGTGGGCCATGGTGAACAGTGAGATCATGGGGATGAGTAGTGCTGGTTGACCGGTCAAATTTATTTCAGTCAAAGGAAACACTGGAGAGAGAAAATAATGTAAAACAGTAAAAGTGAGGGGAATGGGAAACTGTGCCCAACATTCCAAGGCATTTCTTCGAAGAAAAGAATCTGGCGTTCCCACTTTAATTCCCACTGTGTCTTCCGCAGAATCTTTGTCTCTGTTTGGTGCAAGATGATATCTCGTCTGATTTTGTGTGCTCCTTCGTTTTTGTTCAATCATTCGGCATTTAATTAATATGGGGTTGCTGGATTCCATTACTCATTAGCACAATTGAAAAAAGAGCCCGATCGATGTGAAAGGTTTGTGAAAACTTTGGACCCTTTACTCCTTTAGGTTACTGATTTGTCACTGAGGGAGACGCGATGGAAGCCAAACGCCACGGCATGCATTTCTTTCATGATAATAATAGGTCATATAATCAATAAAATTACAGAGGGTAGTCATTAGTTGCTATCAATAATAATAATAATGATGATGATAATCTAACTCATCCATATAGTCCATGCTCTTGACATCCATGGAAGCTCGAATTAGTCAGTCTCTTAAACATTTTTCAAGTCCCGAATCCAAGGCCATGCATGGTCAGGTGAAG